AGCTCATCACTTGTACACTTGTTACATATCTTAGGCTGTAGACGTTCACTCCGTGCCCAGAAGCTTGTCAGATTGAAGCACGTCTTTCAAGAGCGAGGCGGGATTAAGGAGGCTTGTAAGCATCATTCCTGCAGGTTGTGGCTTAAACAGCAGAGCCGCAAAGATACGTTTCGCCTGATAAAATTTCTCTGCCCATCCTCTCCCAGACCGTGTTGGGATTTTCAGTCTCTGCCCTTATCTCCCATCAGCAGGCAGGAAATCGCTTTCTGTATTTTTACATATCTCGCACTGAAGGGCAAAGCTAATCTGTCCTTTGAAGAAACCCTGTCTCCCATATCAAATTAACTGTGTCAGTCACTTGATATTTTTTTTTTTGAAGCAAGAGAGCTCTTTAGCATCAATTCAGCTGTACCGCGGAAAGTGTGATGAAAATAGAAGCTATTAAGTGGAGAGCGTGACTGTCACGTCATTTGGACCTCTTTGCTAGGGTGAAATCGGCTGTGTGACGCGCAGGGACCCTGAAGGAGCCGGTTTTCTCCCAGGAACCCAGCGGTACATGATGCAGAGGATGTTTCTACAAGCCCTGGTGTAGCCAGGGCCATTGGAGAAAAGGTGAAGACACTCTCAGCTGAGCCAGACACCATCCAGAAGCTCTGACCCTAGAGCAGGTGCCATCACAGAGCAGGGTCACCCTGGCACCGGGTGCAGGAAGCAGCATGATGCTCCATGGAGGACAACCTGGAAAAATAATCAGAGGAGCAAGCAGTGATCTTGCCCCCTTAGCTGTAGGGTCAAGGTGATTAGATTTGGTACTCCTAGTATTAGGGTTGCAACAGCAGCTTTTGCATGAACTTGCTCATCTCAGGGATGTTATCTCAGGCGCACTGGGGACTTGGGGCACATACAAGCTTGGCTGGATTCTCTCTACGCATGGTCTTTAATCTGAGACCTGTTGCTTTGTACATTAAATCCTTATTCAACCTGATTTTCCAGGAGCATCTTTACCTTTCTCTGTGTGAGACCTGATATGTAATTACTGATTCCTTTCTACCTGCTACTAATGATGTTTTTCCTCACCCGTGGTGAGACATTGAGTTGGCAGAAGAGGGAACTTGGCTGTTATACCTTAGAAATTAAGGGAATAGATGCAAAGATTTAGTTGATACGTTTCTGCATCTTGTATGTGGCTCATTCCACGTCTGTAAATCTGTAAATTAGGGTATTTGCTTATGGCACACCATAAAACAACAAACCCTGCATGCAAAGACTGCATTTTTTGAGAAGATGGACAAAGCTGAATTGTTAATTGCTCTAGGATAAAATGCCGTTGTTCTGCTAATAGCCTCCAAGAGTCCTTTCTTTATTGGATGTAAATTGGAATTTAATAGAAACAAGGGCTTTTAATTGTGGTATTCTTGAGGCAGTGCAACAGCACTTGGGAGAGAGAAGGAAAACTTATTGTTTGCATCAGGCTCTAGTTTTAGTAACCTCAAAATCGGGATGAGGAGCCCATTATTTTTGTGGCTGACAAGGGAGGATGCGGGTGCGTGCCCTGGCACGGAGTGTCTGTGTCATGAAAAGCAATTTTGAGATCTCAGACCATTTTGAGATCCACTGACAGTGTCTTAGAGAGGTTAAGGCTTGACATGCAGCATGAACAGAATCAGCCTGCTTACACCTGGGTGCTGGAGGAAGGGAAAGCTGCATCTCCTGGTTTCTGCTTCTCCCCATGAAAATATAATATTCATCAACCCACTACCACCCTGTCCTTTGCCTTTAATTTTGCTGTTTTTTAGAAATAAGTGCCTCAACAGGATTTACTTCAAAGTTATAAGGTGCTCGTGAGTTTTGGACTATCCTGCACTTAACAGCAAGAAGGCTGCTAGGTTAGATCATGGATTTGACCCTTTGCCTGCTTGTGTAGCTGTTGTCTTTGTAGGAACTTGGGCAGTGTATATTAATTTATATTTGAAAAATACACTTCTTGTATTAACTGTTATTTGCTATTTCACCGTTAATTGCTATTTTCTTATGTTGTTATTAAACCCATGTGTATTTATCTGAGTTGCTTTGGCGCTCAGGAATTGCTTTCCACCTAATGCTGTCCCAGGAGATGCCTCTGTTGGCAGCAGAGATTCTTGCATTAGCATCATGCTTTTTGGGGGACTGCCAGAACCGGAGAGCAGTATCTAAATACAACAGAATCCTTTCATTTAAAATACTTCTTTGCAGCAGGCTCTTCTTTTTGCAAAACTGTGATCCTTTTCATTGCTTCCCCTTGGTCTTTGCCTTACAGCAAGGTGACGTGTGGAGCACTTGGGGTTGGAGCCCTTTGGATACGTTCTCTGACTCCACCTCTGTGTTTTCCATTTGATTCCTAAATGTTGTAGTAAACCAATTCTGATGGAAAACCAGTGAAAAGTTTACATTAGCTGCATCTGCCATCTGGGAAGGCTCAAAACAAGCTTAAGTAGTGCGTACACGAACCTACCTTTATGTTTTAAAATCAGCCTTTTGCAAACAGACACTTGCAAAGTTTGTTTTGTTTTATCCTGGTAGTTTTAAGTCACTCTTGCAGCTCTGGACGTGTTGAACTTGAAATCTGGCTTCATGTGCGAGTTCTGCTGCTGTGTGTTTGCACGTGTGTTTATGCAGTGCACACAAAACCAAAGTGACCTTGGATTTTGCTTTCCTGCGAGCGCGGCGGTGGGAGCTGCGTGGACGTGCTGTCCGCGGCAGCCCCTCTTCGCCGGAGAGCTGCTGTCTCAGCAGGCAAACACGGGAAGCTGGAACTTTCCAAGCCTTGCGGCGCTCGGCTTTGGGTCCGAGCTATGAAATTGCAACGGGAGAATAACCAGGAGCTGAGGAGAAATGGGAGAAAAGGCCACGCTGCCCTTTGGGCTCGCACTTCGTAGTGCTCTGGCCGGCAGACCTTGGATCCCGGTGGCATCGCTCGCACAGTTGCAGGGACTTCCCCGGTGCAAATAACGTGGGTGCTGCACCTGCCTCTGGGGGTGCTTTCTCTCTGAGGAGTCATCCCATTGTTCTCGGAGCCTTTTCCCGTGGACAAAACCAAAATGTTGTCCCAGAGTGTGTCCCTGTTAGCAGGACCCCCCAATGCAGAGCACGACGCTGTCCGTACGGTGCAAGGAGACTTAAATTGCTGGGGAAAGGGAGTTTGCCTGCTTTGCCAGCTCGCCCCGGGAGCTCCCTTGAGCGCTCCTTGTTGAATATAAAGCTGAAATTTCAGCGTCCGTTGGTGCTGAAGAACCTATCCAGTTTGCTTCCTAGGTTTTCCATGGATATTACTTCCCAAAGGCCATGTTTTTTAAAACAAAAGGGCTGGATGCTATTGCCCCAACCTGGAATTTGCACATGCTTTTGCAAATACAGATAAGTGAGTTGATTTTTGAAGATGTTGAAGCCTTAAAAATCAATGGAAGTTACAGTCCTGAAAATTGGACTTTTATTTCTTCACTTGCCTAAACATAGGTCTCTTGCACAACTCCAGTCACTGAGTTTTAAAAATCTTAGGCTAAATTTTTGAGCTTGGAAAGTTTAGTGATAAATCAATACACAGGAAGTTAGACTTCTAAATGTGTTCATTCAACACTAGTATCAAAGTTAGCCCTGTGAAAATGTCACCTTATTCTGTGCAAAATACTCCAGGAGACTGTTTTGATTCAGTCGAAATAGCTTTAAAAAAATCAGATAACAGCATTAATGGGAGGAAAAACCGTAACAAAATGTTCCAAAATACTGCTATTTTGGGCACTTGTGGTTTTGCTTCCTTTTCCCTTCTGCCAAATTTGATTTCCGCGAGTGTTTTTATTTTGCTAAAATTGTGTTTTAAGTAGGGCAATTGAGTTAGGCCAGGAGGGTTGGATTTGCCCTGCCCGTGTGGAGGGTTTCATAACTGCCCTGGGAATCCTGTTTCAGATGCAAGTATTTGCCCTGCATAAAGTGGTGTTTGGGCATCTTCAAATGCTGCTTGCATTCAAAATTGTCCAGTTTCTGCTATAACTTATTAAGAGCAGTTTGGAGCATTTTGATGCATATGAGCCAAGAAATTCCAGCTGGAAATGCAAAGCCAGGTTTTGCATGTCTTTGCCCCCTCTTTCCAGACCGGTTTGTGGAGCTCCTCATGCTGCCCTGCTGGTTGTAATACCAGAATATCGGTTTCCTTTGTGGCATGACAAGAAGTTAAGTGTAGTTCTGACCCAGTGTCAGTGCCATGTTTCATATGGACCTGGACTGAAACAGATGTGGGGCTCTTCCAAGGCGAAAACTGATGAGGATGAAGGGGAAAATAAAAGCAGGTTGCAGATCAGATGCCCAGTGTGACTCCAAGGATTTGCTCCAGTGGAAGGGGATGGTGTGAGCGTAGGAGCGTGCGGCCAAAGCTGAGGGATGTGTGGAACTCCCAGGTTCTGAGGTCTTGATTTATGCAGGATTTGTGTGCATGAGAAATTAGGGTCTTACTTTGCAGTGAAAGATTACAGAAATCAGCCCTCTGGCTGGTCTGTAAACGGCTCATGAGGGAGTTGGAAGAGTCAAATATAGAAAGGGCAAGAGGTTGCACCATGGTCTCAGTCTGAAGTTCTTCTCTCAAGACAGTGTAGTTTGTGTTCATAAAAAGTTTAGAAATAATTGCAGCTTTCTGTCAATAACTTTTTCTGTCTGTGTGGCCAGTCTGTATGTTATTCTGCATGTTGCTCTCGCTGGAAGAAGCTCTTTTTCTTCTTGTGCTGACTGGAGAAGAATGCTGTCAACCTCACAGAGAAGGCATTGCTCCCAGTTGTCATGCTCTAAGAACAGTCATCAAAAACGATACGAAAACAGTTTAAAAGCAGAATCCTAGTTGCCTCATTATTTGTTTTGCATCGTTTTAGGTTTGTTCAGCATATGAAAAATCTAATGATGGATCTCTTAAATTCAGGATGTTCTTTATGAGCCTTTAATATTATTAAAGACTAATGGTTGTTTTTATTTATTTACAGACTCACTGAACCTTCGGGCTATGTAACGGATGGTCCTGGAAATTACAAATACAAAACAAAATGCACCTGGCTCATAGAAGGAAGGTGAGTGTCGTAAACATCTAGATTTTTTTTTGATAGTGGTCTTATTGTGAGGTTTAAATCCAGTGAATGTTTTTAGATCTCATCATGGCTTTTTTGTTACTGTTGTTGAAACCTGATAGGTCAGCACCTGCTTATCCTTGATAAATGAGGATTTTTGTACAAGTAAGCCCTGCAAACTAACTTCTCAATTTCAGGTCTGCTGTATATGTAAAACAAGCTTCACGTTGAAACCTTGCATGGAAAATCAGAAAAATAAATAAATAAAATTAACTGCTACCATTCTTGGCTATTGAGCTACTTGAGCTTTATTATGTATTAAACTTGTTGGCGTTATAAGAGTACAAAGAACCAAGTGCAGAGCAGCCCTTTTTGTAAAAATTCACTTTCTGTCCTGTTGAACTTCAGATGCTTATTTACCTGGTAGGCTCTGATGACTTCAAAGGAACCACCGACCTTTGGCAGAGAACTTCTAACCACGAAAAGCGTCTTAAAACTCTTCCCTAGCTTCCCTATTTGGGCTGTATTTGCTTGCTGTGTTGCTCGCTGGGATCTCTCGCAGTGACTTCAGGAATGGCGCTGCCCTGTGACTGCCCCCTGATTCCTGGTACAGCATCCAGAGCCTCTGGATCGGCACCGAACTGGTGCTTGGTCTGTGCAGTCAATCTGGATGTCTTTACAGTCTTACACGGCCGGTTATGATGCCACGAGCAGCTTTATGTTAAGTCATATTCTATATTGCTGCCTAAATCTGTAAGTAGACTTCTTATATAAGAGCTTTGTGACCAGGAAGAAGTTGGGTGAAAACATGGGTTGAAATCTCATAAGCTGAGGCCACTCAGCATCTTGGAGGATCAGAAATTATAAAAAAATTATCTTTAGTCTTGTCTCTCTGTTTGAGAGATCACATGGGTGGGGATGGAAAGGTATTTGCTTGGTCTACTTCAGGTATTTATTTTGGATGAGTAACTTAAATGCCTAAGCTCCCAAGATACTCCAAGGTGAGGGCTAGGCTCTTCTAAAGAGCGATTCAGAACATGAAATTGGAAGCCATGGACTCACCATTAACTATAAAAGGCACTCATGTCTTTAAGATCAAAGTTAAATGTCTCCAGTGGCTACACCTCTTAACTATTGTATATAGTAAAAATATAGCTGCAGCCTGTTTGGAATTATAAATAATTAGGAAATGTTATAAAAAGGGTGTTACAACAGGCAAACCAGCTGCAGCAAGTCCAGTATGGACAGTGTAAACCTCATGATTTTTTTACTCCCTCCCACAGGCTAATTTGACTCTGTTTTTATCAGAAGTGAAGTGTGTCCCACAGGACCCTGGTAATGTCGCCATAACTTCTCCTTCAGCTAATTCTGGGAGACTTCACAGAAAAATACCATTTTACAAGGGTCGCAAGAGATCTTTCTTGCTCTGATGACATGTAGAAAAATATTCCTCCTTTAATGAGAACCAGGCATTTTAGTGGGTCTCCTCTGTCTGTTTCTGGCTGGCTGTGCCCTGCTGTCAGAGGCTGGTGGTAAGCAGAAAGGAGACACTTCAGTGGTTTTAATCAGCATGATTACGCACGCCGTGAAAATACTCAACACTCTCTGCCAAGTGCGAAATTCCCGGAGGGATCCATCCTCTGAAACCAGCTCCTGCAAAGCTGTTAGATTCTGCTGAGTGCCCTGGTGCTGGCGTGCCGGTACGTGGAGGGCTTTCGAGGTTGGCAAGGAAAGGTGCAACCCAAAAGCGCAACTGAAGTTGCTAGATTAAATCCAGACACGCAACGAGCTCCATGCTCGTTTCTAGACCCGATTCCTTTCCTCACAGTTTCTGGTTCTTCTTGGGTTCCTGTCTCAGGGGTGCCCTGGCCTCCCCGGAGCCTGGGACGAGGCAGGTCCAGCAGCCTCGGGGCTTGTCGGAGGCAGAGCGTGTGCTTTGTCTTGCCTTTCTGCAAATGAAGGCTGTCTGTCAGCGAGTTGTTAGCTGCAGCATAAATAATCTCCTCCTTTTCACTCAGTGTCTAAAGCTTGTATTGATTAAGGGTTCCTCTGGCCTCTGCAGCTGTCAGGCAGTTAAAGTAGAAGCAGAATCCCACGATTTCATAAGCTGTTTCATTTTGAAATGACAACGCACCTTTTCTTCACGCAAGACACAATCCTGGCGTGGCACCTGCCTCTCTCTAAAAGCCTGACAAAGCTCAGGGTGCTCATCGAAAAAAAATACTCTTGTGCAGAACAGCTGCCTTAAGTATCCTCCTTCCGTAGGAAGGAAGGACTGTGCGGCAGGCGGACGTTTTATTAATTTATTTGATTAGGATGAGCAGGGATTTCATCTGAGCCCCAGGGCAGTGGTGTTGAAGAGGTCCTAGTGATGTGCCTCTACCTTTCTACAGCTGCAGCCGTGGATAGGAGGAAGCAGGATGCGCTTCTCTCGTGTCCCGGACTCCAGGCTCAGGGGTGTCTGATCCCTCCTCATTTTTAAAAGCCCCCCTCCTCTCAGGAACTTCAGTTCTTCCATTCTCAGCCCTTGTCCACAGAGGAGATGCAAGCAAGCTGGCTAGCATTTGTAAAGTGTAAAGGGACAGCAGTGAGTACATACAGACAGCCCAAATCATCAAAGACCTTCCTTTCAACAGAAATGAAAAGCCCAGGACCTTTCATTCAGTAGAAGAGGAGTTACCTCTGCATTCTCTTGACTTGTATTTCCTGGCTCCCAAAGGATGTTGGGCAGGACTCAAAACTCCTTTAGTTAGCACCCCTTGTAGCGTATTTCAAAAGGTTTCCACTTCTCAGTAGTTTCCTTCAGTCCTGCAGTGCTACAAAGGTAATAAAGTGATAAAGAGGAGGCTTTCTACCTTTCCAAGGAAATAATCGATCTCAAGCCATCATCTCAACCTGCAGAAAAGCCTGTGAACGAGGAAAAAGGGGCTCGGTTGGTTCCCTGCTGGTGGTTGTGATTCTCCCGTGTGTTGTCCGTGCGGATTTTCCTTGTCCCCTCTTCAGTTTCTGCCTGTGGTGGTGGGGGAAGATTTAGGGACACACTTGTGTTTCTTACCAAAAAAAGAACCTACTCCTCAATGCTGGAGGAATGAGCATGCCACAAAAGAAAGCACTTTAGATGTCAACGCAGTCCCTCTAAGCAACTCAGCTTCTTGCTGAAAGGGAAGCTACAGCCCAGAGGAGTTTGTCAGATGGATTCCACTGTGCGGGTTGAGTGGCTAATTACAAATATTTTATTCTTTCCAGTCCAAACACAATCCTGAGGCTTCGATTCAATCACTTTGCCACAGAATGCAGTTGGGACCATTTATATGTGTACGATGGAGACTCGATTTATGCTCCCTTGCTAGCAGCTTTTAGGTAAGTTCTGCTGAATGCAGTGATGCTTTTTTAACCAGCACCTTGAAATTGTACTTGGCTTTTAGCAGTATAAATATGTTCCAGTAATCTAAATATATAATGCTGCCAGTGCAGCACATACAGTGGTGTCCTTTTGTGCAGTCAGCAGCAGCATAAACAATTAGTGATTCCTTTTTGCTTTTACAGTAAACGGATTGTGTTACTATAGTGTCGCATGCAAGTACTAGGTTTTCATGCCCAAATCCTAATTATTTTAAGCACAAAAAATTATCATTGTGTGGTTGAGCTTGAAGCATTTCAGTATGCAAGCTCCTTCTAGTGCAGAAAACTGCCTGTTTTTACCACGTTAGAATATGACAGTCATTTAGCATATATTATGTCCCTGTTGACATAAGGCAAGAAGCCAAGCAATCAGCATTGCAGCCATATAGCTTTCATAGAACCATATATATCCTTACATACCTTAAAGTTTAAAGTTTTAAAGCCCTTGGAACATGTTCAGAAACAACAGCGATGGTTGTAAAAATATATGTAGATAAAACTGTTCTTCTGAGGGATAATTGCTCCCCGACTTGTCTGTCTGGGGTGAGAGACTGGTTCATGGCTAATGGTTTACAGGTGATATTTCAAGGGGAGACCTAAATTTAACCTGTGCATTTATGTACTTCTTGCAGAGACAAGCACCACCTTCTGTTTTCAGTTCTTTTAGCTGAAAAGAAAGAAAAATCCTGGGTTATATATATGAAAAAGCAATATCCCCGTCAGACTCTGCTTGTTCCAAGTGCCAATGAACTGTTTTTATAGTTAACCTTTAGTGGTGCTGCTTGCTCTTCAATTTTAGAATGAAATTCTAAAAATACTTCTTGTTTTCAAAAGTCCTTTTAGCACCTGGGAGAAAGGAACAGGATCGCTGCAGTAGCAAAAAATAGAGCAAAAAAGTAAAAACAGTGCATTGTTTTATTTGTTTTTATTTCTGAAGCAGAAGTGGCGTTGTTCTGTAGTGAAGGAATGCTTCCTGGAAACAGCCAACCTCGGGTCAAAGCAGGACACACAACTAAGATGTTATGTTATTCTCTCATCCTATTTAAAGTATAGAAACCTCCTGCTTTTCAGATAGCTTGTAAGCACTCCCCTGGCATCACGCGCTGAGCCAATGTCTGCCAAGAGGAAGAAATGTTATCTTGTCTCAGTCTCTTGCACTAATCGAGCTAATTTTTAATACGCTGTTGAAAAGATGAAACGATCACAGTTTGTGCCTGCGGTTTCCTCTGCGTTTTCCAAAAATTATGAGCCTTTAAAAACTGAGGTTATAAGTAGTTCACAGCATTAACAATTATGGTTCAGACTTTAAAATCATCTGTAAATCACTAGGAAGTCTGTGCCCGAGGACAAGCAAGTGTGAGCTTAATACTGTAACATTTTTGAAGTAGGAAAAAAAATCAATTATTTTTATAATTGCTTCTTTAGATGACATTTGAATTTCATCTTCATTAGTACTGAGCTGTGTTGTTCAGTAAACCAAGTTCAGGAAACAACAGATGCTTCTAATTTTGATGAAGGGTGAATAAAACATCTGTTGAAAATATCTGTTTCTGATGGGGAAAACAAACCCCCAAAAAATCCTAAGAATTTTTCAAGAGCAATGCCAATATTTTATCTCTCTTAGCTTGTGTTAAGTTTCAGTGCTCACTATAAGCTGCTTTTACTCTCCACTGCTTCTGCAGCCTGCCAGCAGCTTTGCAAGGTTGAGCTTTGTGCGCCGGGACGCTGCAAACTTTGAGAGTGTGTTGGTGGCTGCTGTGACTTCCACCCAAGCTCCTCCTGCAGCTCAGCTCTTGCTGCCTCCCTGGCTTCTTACAGTGCTTGCCTGAGCCCTCGCTTCTTCCACTGCCCTCGAGATGTTTTCTCAGCCTTCTGATGTGAATATATTTGCTCAGAAGATGAATTTTATGGTCTTCTTGGAAATTCTCAGAATTAGCATAAGGAGGAATTTAAACAGGATTTATCAATTGTAACTACAATACAAAGTATCTGCATAAAGCAAACATTTGCATAGTGCAAGTATCTGCATAAACTTTTTACTAAATTCTTGGATTTAGCGCCCTAGAGCAGGCCAGTCTTTTGCAGTAATTTTTTTCGTTCTATTAAGCAAACTTAAAAATATCTTTGGTTGTTTGCATTGTGATCAGCTGTGCCATAGAAGAACTTCTAGAGGCAACAAAAATGCAGTGCATTGATCTGGAATGGGTAAAATAAAAATCCGACGCGTGTCGGGTAGACTTGCTGTCTGTGGTGGTGGTAACTGTAAAGAGAGGGGAATGCTCATGCCCCCAGCACCAGCTTCTTGTTCAATATTAGCCCATGTTCCTACAATACACATGCACAAACGCTCTTGCCTTCTTCTCTTCTACCCTAAATGCCCTTCCTGAACTTATCTGCAAGCCCCACGTTTGCCCCTCCAGGTCCACCTGCCTGCACTGCTGAGAGCAAATGATCCGCTGATAGAGCAGGGCCATTGCTAGCGAGGCTGAATTATACCAGGGAAGCTATGAAACGTGTTGAGCGGGGACAGTTTGTATTCTGAGAGCATCCCGAGGCCCTCTTCAGCTTAGGGCTGATGCTGTGCAGAAAAATTGGACTGAACGGACCTGGCTTCCCAAGCCCGTCTGAGCAGAGAGCAAGGCCTGCACGTGCCCTGCGTAAAGGAGACAGTGGGAGCTGCTTCAGGCCGAGGTTTTAGCATGCGAGACACCACGTGTGCCCTTCTCGTGTGTGTCACTAGACTCGCTGGGTTTCATCTGCACTTTCATCAGGTTTTCATCTAGCTCCAATGGAGCTAGCACTCAGCACGTACGCATCCAGCCTGCTCAAATCATGTCTTGCTCCTCCTGCTTCCCTGCATGGCCTGTGTCATGTTCCGGCCCCATGTTGGACAGGGTTGCAATGTGTATTTTAATGCATATATTCAGTTTATAGAGCACTCCGGTTTGCATTTGTCTTAACAACCTGTCCTCTGCAGCATTTGTTATTTTGCTGTATTTATTTTCTTCCCAAGTGATGATTTCATGTTGCTTTCAGTAAGTTGATTTTTTTTTCTTGAAGAACAAACAAAACCACAAAGCAAACAGGAAAAAGAACTAACCCATATAAGGCGAGAAGCAAATGCTTTGGGGATTTTTGCTAGAAATGCACCTGCTAAATGATGGTTTCTTGTTTGTGTTTAGTCCTTTAGGCTGTCCATGAGCCAGGTGGTCCCTTGAATGCAGAACAATTAATTAATCAAAATGTCTTTTTGGTTAAAAAAAAAAAAGTCAGATTTCATAGAGATATGTAAATGCATTATATCCAAATTGCTCTATTCACTAAACCTATAATCCCCTCCGAAAATGTCAAATCAATTTGACAAGATGGGCAGAAAGACTTTCTATTTTAGGGAGTTTGTAAAGATAAAGCCTCCAAGTTATATCGAAGCCTACAAATGAGGTTTAAAACAAAAATTTTCTTTGCTCTTCTTGCCTTTTAGCCTTCTTGAACTGTTTCTGGTAGGCTCAAGAATACTCCCCCACACAACACACACAAACTCAAACATCCTCTCGTAAGTTTCACAGGCATTAACCGATAACAACCTTCCTTAAGCTTTAAAAAAGGGGGAAAAAATAAGTCTATTGATGCCATGGCAGTTGATTAAAATCAATTTTATTCTTAAAAATGAAACTTATTGCTCTGAAGGTGAAAAAAGAAGTACTTCCCCCCTGAAACCTCCTCTCAGTTCACCTTCTCTCGAAATCCGGCTTTTACAGCCAGGCTCAGGCTCACCCCTGTGTTATGGCCGTGAAGATGGTGGCTTGTTGAAATACACCCCTGGTTTGTCCTGATTCCGCTTCCCAGGAAGGAGCAGGATTGTGCAAGAGGGTTTTTTGGGCACGTCCTGTTGATCCTGAGGGCCGTGCGTGGGCGGCCTTGCCGCGCGCTGCTGCCGGTTCCGCCGGAGCCCTGCCTGTTACAGCAGGGGAGGGGGAAACGCTAAAAACTTGACGTTGGGGTGTTGCCAACTCTCAATGATGAGGTTTTCTTTTGTTGTTGTTGCTAGGTGTTTGTTGTCGTTGTAATTGCTTCTTTTCCTTAAAAGACACACTAAAAATGGTCATGTTGGCGTGCTAGGGTCTTCACTTTCCTTTAAGAAAATAAATTTGAAGCAAGTCTCCCTCCCTTTTTGGTTTTTGTTGGCATTGATCTATTTTTTAATAATTTGTAATTTCCTTTCTTGTATATTTTCCCCCTCATAGCGTTGCTAGGTGTTTGTTGTCGTTGTAATTGCTTCTTTTCCTTAAAAGACACACTAAAAATGGTCATGTTGGCGTGCTAGGGTCTTCACTTTCCTTTAAGAAAATAAATTTGAAGCAAGTCTCCCTCCCTTTTTGGTTTTTGTTGGCATTGATCTATTTTTTAATCAAAATGGTCATGTTGGCGTGCTAGAGTCTTCGCTTTTCTTTAAGAAAATAAATTCGAAGCAAGTCTCCCTCCCTTTTTAGTTTTGTTGGCATTGATCTATTTTTTAATAATTTGTAATTTCCTTTCTTGTATATTTTCCCCCTCATAGCTGTGAATTTGGCTAATGTGCACAGGCTGTTTTTAATAAGGGAGAAGTTGTGTTGCATGCCTGTACGTCCACCTGCCTCCAAGTATCTTAACGCTAAGCCTGCAAAAAGTGTTTTCCCATTGCATTTTGATAGGCAGTGAATCTGAGCATGCTCCTAACGTTGTTTTTCACCCTGACTTGACAACTCCACTAAAAATGCAGAAAACTACAGGTGTTTCAGGGCAAAACAGGGGCTTTCCGGGCAGCTTTGAAGCATAGTGTGGTTGGACAGCATAGCAGAGTGGGAGTATTTGTTTGCTTTGGAGTAGCAATGATTGGGAAATGTTTTGAAATCTCTTGAAAAACATAGAAAGGGTGTGTTGTGAAACGCCGATTGACCCGAGCTGAGTCTTGGAGAGCTTCGAGATCCTACGTACCTAATCCAGTACTGGTTGTGCTCTGCCTGTTGGAAGCTGTTTGGCAAAAAATGCCCAAATTCTGGTTTCTTCTTCAGCCAAACTGATGCTTAATGTGTGTTATCCGATGCCTGGCCTTCAAGTTGCTTGTGTTTCATTCTGTCCATCGCTCTCTCCAAAGGGAAATTATTATCCAGCACTTGGATGTCATCAGGGTTATTTTAAAGTTTTGTAGGCGAAACCATATCCTCTTTAGCGTGTTGCATTTGAGTCATTAGGGGACTATCATTGGGCTTGCTTGCTTAGCCTTTTTCTCCACCAGTCGGTAACTGCCTTGATACTAAAGCTATTTTTTTATATATATAAATCTGGGCAGCTCTCTGCATGCAGCTTGTCTCCAGGAAAGGAGAGCAAGTGGAAAGCAAGGAAGGAAGCAGGGCACATGTATCAAGCAATCATCCTGTGCAAGGATCTGCATTCTTTGTAAGCACAGCCCCAACGTTTGCTTTCCAAGAACCAACAAATACTTGGTATTTTTTAAGTCATACTTTTTTTTTTTTTTTTGGAAAGGTTATTTGGGGGAGTTTTGTCTCCTTTTCTCTTATTCTTGCAGCACTGTTTTCTTCTGCTTGTCTTTTCTCCTGTGTTTTCCCCCCCAGAGTCTCTCAGCTCGGTGCCTGTGTAATGTCACCGATGCACACTGCAAAAATGAGGCTAAGGAAGAATAACACGGAACAAAGGAACGTTCCCCCGCGTCCCTGAGCGCTAGTTTGCCTTCCCCTGAATTATATTCAGATGTCTATTTTCGTGTGGTGGAGACGTACTGTTCTACAGTTTGCATTACAAAGGAAGGCTATGGGAACCAAAATAGCAAAAGAGGAATTTATTAGAATATCTCCTCTTTGATGTTTTTGTAGGCAGTCTTTGGGGAGGGAGCCTCTTCAGATCAGCGCTCGGGAATTTTGGAATGAAACAGGCACCTATTGCGTACCGATAAACAGAGAGAGGCAACAAATTTTTCCTTCTGATCCTATATCCTTAAGATCTAAAAGGAAAAAAAATATTTTGGCTTCTCACAATAAAATAATGTTTATTGGACTGCATATCTGCAAATGTTGTTTGGCCAGAGCATGGCATGAGGCTACCTTTATAGTATATGAATAAAAGGAAAACATATTTTAGTTGACAGTATAATTTCTTAAGCGAGAGCTATATAAGAAGTGAGGTATATTTACACCTCTGTGTGTGTGTGTGTGTGTGTATGTATATACACACACATGTCCTTTGTATATATACCTGTCACTCAACATGCAAACACTCCCAACTTCTATAATAGCAAAAGCTTTTGATATTGATCACCAAGCATCTGTACCAAGCTTTGAGCACACCATGGTATCATATCATATCAAAACTCATGACACTAGGAGTGTACGTTGTAGGGAATGTGGCTGGGGTGCTGTGGACAACTGCAGATGTTTTCCTCGGATGCGGAACATGGCTTCAACATGCCCTATTTGTGCTCTGCTGCTAAAGGTTTTCGTATACATGGGCTTCTGGTCCTGAATAGGTGTGGAAAGAGGGAAAGAAGATTTCCCTAACAGGAAGATAATTCTAAATTATTCCAAGTATTATTTTGGTAAACCTTTAGAGAAATCTGTACCGTGTCCATTTGTGAATGTGATAGTTCTGGCCACTGTCCTCGCTTCTCACAACCTTCTACCCACCCAAAACCCAACCAAACAATCAGAAAGGCTGGAGGCTGCGGTAGAACTTGGATGGGTGTTGAGAAGCAGTCGATCAGAAGTTCTTTTTGAGGGCAGTGGCGCTATTATCATCAATATTCTTGTTTTTTTCTACACTTCTCCGTCAGTAACTTGGATTGTTGTTTTTGCAGCCAGATGAGCCAAGCAAAAGGGGTTTAATAAGCTAATTCCTGAAGATTTTGATTTCATGTCTCCAGCAGCGTCTGGTGGATTTTCAGCCCTGGAGAATGTAGTTATTTTGGGGGTTCTTTGCATGCATGCCCACACCGATCAAAACGTCCTTCAAATGTTTAAGGAGCTCTGTTGCAGAAAAACTGATAACATTGCTATATGCAAGTTGTAGCCAACTTATGGAAATTCATTACTTCAGATAAATACCTTGAGTTCCAGTTATTTTGCCCATACCGAGATGTGCACATTGTGTCTGTTATTGTTGCTTTGCTCCCTATTATTTCATTTTACACACATGTTTTTCTTTTTCAGTGGTCTTATTGTTCCTGAGAAAGACAGCAATGAAACAGTCCCAGAAGTTGTAGCTACTTCTGGATATGCTCTTCTGCATTTCTTCAGTGATGCTGCCTATAATTTGACAGGCTTCAACATCACATATAAGTAAGTAGTACCATTCCTAAGTGGTTTGGGAGATTAAATGCATGTTGCAGGTTGAGTAAAAGGAGATTGATCTCTTCTCGGTTTTGTCTTGAAGCAACCTATCGCTTTTGAAGCGTGTAATTATAAGCAGACACTTGAATTTAGATTTCTATCCTTTTTATACCCATACAACAGCTAATAACTAATGTGCTTGACATTAACTTCAGTTGTGAATTACAAGTGTGGGTAAACATTAGCTTAAAAATACATTGTATTATTTATTTCACATTATTAGATTAGTTTGATCATCTTCAGTCAATAAGAATTGATCTGCTAAGTGCATACATGTGCTCTTATGCATTCTGCAGAAGCACTCCTGTATAAAGATACTTTTGTGTAAGCACAGATATTTTCACTTGAGACCCAGTGTTACATCTGTTGTTGAGATACCCCAAGTGGTGTGTGTGGTTCTTATTTTTGTTCTTTTTGTGTGAGAGATGGGAAGGGAGGATATACTTTCTTTTTGTCTTTGGATTTAGTTAATTACCTGTTTCCTTTCTAGTCTGATTAATGTTCCTTGTTTTTTATATTAAACATTAGAGATGGATTCTCTCATTGCTATCATAGATTTTTTGCTTATTGCTTAACTTCTTCAAAATATACGTATAGATTATTCCCTAATTCATTGATAACTGCTTCAGAAGGTTAGGTTTTGAAGTAAAAATGATGGTATGGGCATAGCAGAGATGGAATTTCTTCCTTCTGGAGGGGCATAATAGGCTTGAAGTTTACGTTGTTGCCGATACAGCTTAGGTTTGTGTTATACTCGAAGGCTTTAGTTTGGGGGTAGTTTGCAGTCACCGTCGTCTTGAATGAGTCAGATACAAGGTCCTCACAAGTGATTTTTTACAGAATTGAAACGTTTCCGTAAAATGAAGCAATTGGCTTTTGAAAACCGATCTTAAAACATTTCATGTTCTAATCCCTATTAAGCATTTAAATAAGCAGTCGATTCTTTGAAATGTGGGAGCCATCCAAGCACCTCCTGAAGGCTCCTGAAGAATAAGTGGAGCTTTTGCAGAATTGCTTGAAAAGCTTAAGCAGAAGCAGTGGCATCTGACACTGAAAACGTGGCTGAACCATAAACCGTGACACCATCTACTGCCAGCTCTCCGTATTGCACTGCAGCCATCAATGCAACTGAGAAAATCCCTTAAAGAATTGCCTGTCCTCTGAAGTTCTGTGTTATAATGTTCCTCTGAACTCATCTTTAAACTTCAAGTATCGTTTTGTTTCTTCTGCAAGTTTTAGGGTTTGGATTTCCTTTTAACCTTCTTGCAGAGAGTGGGTGGAATGATCTACCAGTTTCTTTATAGTTGCTGTAGGAGATAGCTACTAGAGTCTGAATCCAAAGACAAATAGTTCAGAAATCGGGGTCATGGAGCTGGTGACTTCATCTATTGAAGACTGTGTTTAATCCCAGTCTTTGAGTTATACCAGGTAACAGAACCTATTCCAGACAACAACTGGAATTTGAAAAAGGGCATCTGCCTTTGCATCCTCACCAGGGAGGTATCTGCCTTTGCCGCAGATTTATTGCAGATGTTATAAAATTCAAAATGGTTGGAGGGACGTGTGTACGTGCCTTGGGTTTCATCTCAAGGGTGTTCATTTGGCAAGCAGGTCCCAGAAGAGCAGGCAGTTGTGAGTAGTTTAAGTAGGAACTGCAGACACCACAAAGGCCTTACGTACTGATTAAATTCTTCACATACTCTTGGAGGTTTTGAGGCAATTCATTTGCATTACAAATGGCTAAAATTCCTATTGGTAAGTTTAACTCATGAGTCGTTTAACTCATGAGTCAGCTCTGTACAGAACAAATCAGAGCGGGTCCATCACGTCAGATTCCAGGTGAATCTTTGTGTTTATATATTAGCAAACCCCCAAACTGCTCTATCAACATGAGGTCAGCATCGCGCTTGTGTTTGGGAATGAGAGTCACGGCTGAAGGAACTGTTTGATTACTGCAAACCTTCTTTCCCTGATGTTTGCAGTTTCAATACGTGCCCCAATAATTGCTCTGGCCGAGGCGAGTGCAGACTCCACAACAGCAGCAAAGCTCTGGAATGTGAATGTGCCAAATACTGGAAGGGAGAAGCCTGCGATATTCCTTACTGCATGGATGACTGCGGGGCTCCCGAGAGGGGACACTGTGACTTCAATGAGACGAAGGCATGTTTGTGCTCTGCAAACTGGCAAGGTGGGCATTCTGGTGAATATGGGGGTATCTACCTTGTTAAGAGGATACCTTTTTTTTGTGTTGGCTCCTGCAGCTAAATTAGAAGCACTCGGGGCTGTCTCGCTTGTCAAGCGTTAGCAATTTGATTAGGGGATGAGTATGTGATGCTCCCACCTAGCTCTTCATATCAGAAGATGACAGATTTTTGCTGCTGCTGTATGCAGCAGCAGAGTTGCTTTCAGGAGAAAGAGGGAAAATTTTGTTACCAATCTCTTATGTGTAAACATCAGAATAAAAAATACATAAAACTTTATTCCTATCCACTTGCAGCAAGTTGAGACAAGAAGTTGAACACACAGAATGCTTTTGTTGTCTTGTCCGGGTGTGCTAGTAAGAAGTAAACAGGTTACAAAAATGCAGTGCTAGAAAGGAGAGAGCAAAAAAAAAAAGAGGGAAGAGTGGCAACTAGCACTTTTATGACCTAAAAAAACCCCAAGTAAACAACCCTCTTTTTATTCCCAGGTCCTGGCTGTTCCATTCCGGTTCCTGCAAACCACTCATTTTGGACCCGGGAGGAATACTCTCTTCCCAAACTTCCTAGAGCATCTCACAAAACCATAATCCATGACAATAAAATGTGGATTGTTGGAGGCTATGTCTTCAATCATTCTGACTCTCAGAAGGTTTTAGCGTGAGTATAAACATGGATTAACTTAGTCTAAGTGCAAGTACATAGATGTATTTTTTAGAAAATGCTATTCTATATGTGTACAATTGTATGTACAATGCGTGAACGATTTGTGGGGTGGGGAAAAGAGCTGAAGAGGAATGCAGATTTGGGAAAGAAAAAGCATAAGGTTCAAAGAAGGGTTGAGGTTGGAAGGGACCTCTGGAGATCATCTAGTCCAACCCTGTGCTCAAGCAGGGGCACTTAGAGCATGTGGCACAGGATTGTGTCCAGATGTCTTTTGTATAGCTGTAAGGTTGGAGACAGTTTCTTTGGGTAACCTGCTCAGGCACCCAAAGATCCATCTGGCACTAAACTATTTATATATGTTATGTAATTCTAATTATTTACTAGGTTGTATTTCAATTGTATCTGAATTCATACTTGGAGAGATTAGCTCTGTTTCTATATTATTAACGCTTTATTATTTTGTATCTGTGTCACTTCATTTAGTTCCTTTATGATTTCTGTGGATGTAGATGTAGATATTTTTTGTGTATTTTCTTGGTATGGGATACCAAAGAGGGAGTGACACTTGAGATGATGACATTTATGTCATTTGTTGAGGTAATTTAGCAGTAAGTAAGGTATTGAATAATATTGTGTTCCTTTATTGAAATTCACATGGTAAATGTTTTAAGTTACTTATTAGAGCTTACTAATATCCTGGCAGATCTGGACAAAAATGGATTTTTTCCAGGGATACATGCATAGCCAGAATGCATTAATCCAAGCAAGAGCTGTGTGCTCTGCATCAGAAGTAATAACAGTGGTAGAAGTTAGAGGAACAGAAAACACACACACAGTCATCAAATAGTTGCTGATTACCACCACAATTTTTTCTTTAAAAGGCCCTGCCTGATTTTTCAGGAGATACCATGTGGCTTCATTAAAGCTTTTCTCAGAGATGGTTTTATCTCATACAACTGTAAGCCTGGCAAATACAGTTCCTGACCATATCTGAAAAACCATGGGCCATTTTCAGGGCAAAGTTTCTCTCATTTCAGGTTTACAGTAAAGAAAAAAAAATATATATATATAATTAAATTGGACAAAGATATAATTAAAAAGTGCCTCTTGAATACTGGCAGTTCTTTCTGAATGTCTTAATTTGCCTGAGTTTAATATAGCATTTTTATCTTCCTTGGGTACATGATACGATGTAAGTTGTCATAATTTAGCAGTCAGTTCATTAACCCTTGCTTTGGCATGGGGGAAAAAATAAACAAGGTACAACAAATCAATATATGGGCATTAAGTAACAGAATAGGCCTGACTGAATAATTTATAAATAATTTGTCTTGTGATGCTGAACTTGTCAAATAAAATGATTTCCAACATTCTTAGGAAAGATGAGCAATTTTCGTCATTTGAATATGTATTTCTCAAAAAACCAACGGAATTCAATTTTCATTGCGCAGGTATGATCTCATTTCTGAAGAGTGGCTTTCACTGAACAAAACTGTGAACGTGGTAGAGATGAGATATGGTCATTCATTGGCATTACATAAGGTAAATGAGCTTAGCGTGTCATCTCCCATCTTATTTCCTCCTTTTCTCCTCCCTACCCTCCCTTCCCTTCCACAGATGAGTCTTTTTTTGGGAGGAGCATTTCTCCTTCAGAGGCTTGTCCATGCATGTTTCTCTCCATGCGTAATTGTACTCAGAAGAATCCTTGGACTGTTATCCCAGTAAGTGGGTAGTACCTTTGCCGGGATGTTCCTGCTCTCTCCTTCCTTTTTCTTGGGGACCTTAGGGTTGACAGACATCAGTGACTACTTCATTTCCTTCTGCCTGGGCTTGTGAGACATGCCTCACACTTGGAACTTGCAGGATTTTAACTGGCTCCCTAATGGGCTCCTGTGTAGACAGCAAAAATCTTGAGAGCTCTCAAGACTCCATTTGGAAGGCATCCAAAGTCCAAGGCACACTGGCAGCACTGGTGAATTTAGGGATTTTTGGACTTCGCTCGGCTTCTGGACTCTGCTCCAGTGTCCATCCTTTCAGCTTCAAAAATGCCAGGTGGATTTGACCATTTCTGACCTCAGTCCTTGCTTGCAACCTTGCTGTGGGAGCAGGCCAAGCGAGAGCAGGATGGCAAAAGTCCAAGAAAATGTCTTGAAGAAGAGAACAGGTCTTGGGCACGTTAGCTTCCTTGAAAAGGAGAGGAGCTTGAGCCTACACTGACCTTTGTTCTCGGGTTGTTAATGAACTCGTCACAGTGCAGGCCCATATAAATCATAATTAACAGCACCTGAAAAGCTGTGTACATCAGCATTCACAAGCAGCACATTTGAAGAAGCTGATAAAGACAGCAATTCTTACCTGCAGGGGCTGACTAACCTTCTGCAAGCAACTCTTCACAAGATGTGCTCTATGCCAGGCTCGCTCTCAGTGACACAGAGTTGTTCTTAGCATTTCCCCAAGAAGCATCAGCTCGGGTAGAGAGTTTCCCTTTCCAAGACAGCAGTGAAACAGGTACCTCCCCACACGTTTTGGGGGATTCGTGATTGACTTAGGTAGAGCTGCAGAAATCCACCAGGAAAGAGAGCACTGGAGCTTAGCTCCTACAGGGTGATTAATAAAATCCATGCCTAGCTACCGTGACACCTTGCTTTCCAAAGGCTCTCGATACTTTTATTTAGGAGACAAAAGATTTTAGTGTGCAGGCACCAAGGAGTTTCCATGCTGTCTCACCAACTATCTTGTGCTTTTGGGGATTCGCAAACTCGGTGAGTTGTGGTTGCCTTTGTATCACCTGTGACCAAGGATGGAGACCTGTGCGGTATCCTTCCTTAACCTGAGCACGGGGCTCAAAAATGTAATAAGCAGAAAACCCGGTAGGTTTTCCTGCTATGCCTGAAGTATTTGAAACCCTCCGTTTCCCCTTCCTTAATAGAGCTGTGCAGTCAGTAGATTTTTCTGGGGAGAGAACCGTACTCTATCCCTCGTGTTGAAGCTGAGCTGCTTTTTGGAAGAGAATGGTGGGGTGGCAGTGAGATGAGGCCGAGCGGCATACAGCTTGCTCCAGGAAGCTGCATCTGTTCCGAGGATGGGGATCATGGCCTTCGTTTCATCCTTTTTCATCCTAAGAGAGGAGGAAAAACTTAACAGACTGGGAGAGGTTAAGATTTGGCAATTCTATTACTTCCATTATTAGCGCTGTCTTAAATACGGAATTTTGGGCTCGTTTTAACTCTGGCTGTTTTTCAGGATGAAATGTACATGTATGGTGGAAAAATAGACGCGACGGGGAACGTGACCAGCCAGTTGTGGGTGTTCCATATTCCCAGCCAGTCCTGGACTCAGGTGACGCCCAAAGCCAAGGAGCAGTACGCCGTGGTCGGCCACTCGGCACACGTTGTCACCCGGCGGGACGGCAGCGCCGTGATGCTCGTCATCTTCGGGCACTGCCCTCTTTATGGCTATATCAGCAATGTCCAGGAATACAACATCGGTGAGTAGGATCCTACCGACAGGGTGTTTGAATTTTAGCAGCTGGTTTGAGAGTTATTTGAGCCATATTCGGACAGAATAGCAGTAATAGTCATGTTCTTCATCTTTTACTTGTGTTTAAAAGTACTTGGTGGAGCCCTTTTTGCTCTTTATTTCTGGAAATAGTCCACACACTGATTTTTAGGATTCAGAGATTTCCAGCATCATCACAGGAGAAGAGGAGGAACCTCTTCAGGTAAGGTGAACTGCCACCCAACTTAACTGCTCTGAAACAGCTCTCTGGAGGCACCTCACTTGCTTGTAGGTGTAGAGAAGATAGTTCAGCACCTAAAAAGGGCAATGTAAATGTGCTAGTTAATCACAGAAATTGAGATGGTCTCTGTAGTGTTGACCCATTACCGTTGTCCCTTGGCCAACCTCATCCAGAGGATCTTCTGGACTTTCTAGAGGAGAAAAAAAGGGCATGTGCAGAGTGATGCATTCCTAGCTATCTTGTTATTTCCACTTGTGCCCCAGGTTCTGGTTTCCGGACACAGTATCTCGCCTGGAGCCTGGTTTGTGAGGGGAGTCTGTCTCCCATGCCCCATCTTTTTTTCTGTGGGAGAGTGTCACAGGAACCCAAAGCAAGGATCTCTTTAGAAAGCTGCAGCATGAGAACCTGCTAGTGGTTTGTTTTGTTGTGCCCACGCATGTGAGCTTGCAAGCTTTTAAATTCCTTTGCTGTAATTATTTTGTGCAACTGATGTACCCTGGCAGCAGAAAGCCTATGTAGGGTTAAATTCTGGGCTTGCTATGGAATTTTGTACAGATTTTTGTATGGAATTTGGCACTTCTGTTTCAGTTGTTGTGACTTTGGGTTGCTGATTTTAAAATCAGTGTTATTTTAGTGAAAGGACCGTTAATCACATCCTAGGTCTGACATGCAGTGTTCTTCACAATCATCCTTGGCTTCAGTGCTAGCGGACTTGGAATGCACCCAAGTGCCCTTAGGTACCGTCCCAAATCAAGCCGTGGCGCCGGCATTGTGGTGTCATCTGAATGCAAGAGGTTGTTTTTGTGCTTTTTGCTTCTCATCTACTTAGCTTCTCTGCAAAATTTAATAAATGACTGTAGAAGAGGTGTTTCTGGTCTATTAAAAGTATTTAACATGACAATACTTCTTGGCAGCAAACACTGTCCTCGAAGGAGAATATTTTGGGATGTGAAGCGATAGAATCAGTGGGTAGATTGGAGTCGAGGGAAGCCCCATGTGTTGCACAGTCAGGATCTGTTGTTAACAGAGATAAATTAACTGTGCTTTGTTGCTCACATTTTTCATTTTTTTTTCAGCCACAAATACCTGGAACATTTTACAGACAAGTGGAGCTTTGGTGCAAGGTGGCTATGGGCACAGCAGTGTTTATGATCCAAATACAAGATCAATTTATATCCACGGAGGTTACAAAGCGTTCAGTGCCAACAAATACAGGCTAGCAGATGACTTGTACAAATATGAAGTTGATACCCGTATGTGGTAAGGACATCTTTTTCATACCTCCCCCCTCATTTTTGCATACGGTAGAAAAACAGGATGAGAGTATCTGATAAAAAAATAAATAAATAAATACAACATTCTTGCAACGTAGTTGTATTCAACATTTTGCATTCTTCTGGCTGGTATTTTTATGACCCTTTATGAATAGCAAAATCATATAATTGCATATAATCAGGATTGTGAAGTAGCCAAGAAATCTGCTTTAATATATTGTTGTATTAAATCTGAAAGGAAAAATACTTGATGGGATTTTCTTGGCAGCAATACAGACAATGCGTATGAGTGCAGTTACTGTAGTCAAGTAAGTGATAATTTATTCTGCAGTTCAGACTGCAAAAGAATTTCTATTATAACCCCATTTTCTTCTTGCTCTGTAACAATGTGAAACATTCATTTCTTAAGCTGAAATTTTCTGTGACTGCCTTCTGCCCAACGGTGAGTTTTATTAGCAAGCGAGAGCAAAAATTGATAACTTTGAGTTCCATAGTTGAAGTGCATTTCCTTCAGTTTGGTACTTTTCTTTTTTAAAAGCCTACTGAGAAAAGAGGACTGGTCTTTTGATTTCACACATGTAAATTTAAGTCACTGTATCTTTTTTTTTTTTTTTTTGATCTTTTGATTTCACACATGTGAATTTAAGTCACTGTATCGTGTTTTTTTGAGCGTGTAACTTACATTTCTGCCCCAACTGTTTGAGATACATGGAGTGACTAGTGACCAGTATCCAAAAATCTTCCTTCCTATTCAGCTGTACATTCTATAATAATTATATTTCCTTTTTATTTTTAGTTCATTAGATCCTCTGATTCTACCATGGAGCTGGCAAATTTGGCTGAAAGGACAGAAAATGCCACACACATCTGTTCCCAAACTTTTCCAGCAGCAACCTGCTTGCACTGCACTTACTTTGTTAGTTACCAAAGGACTAGAGTAAGGCCAGCCTTGGTCCTTTTGCTGTCAGAGCAGCTACTTTTATTGTGAAAATCATTGCTTTGTTGCCAACTGCATTCACAGTGTTACTCTACTCCAGCAGCAAAAACTTGCCAGTTGTGACAGTGTTGCCTATGACACAAACATTGTCATATTTGTGTTTTTATGTACTTCCACACTCTCCAAATAATAGGGATATTCTGCAAAGGGTGACCCACTTTGTGTTCAGTGCAGTTTCTCATAGTTAAAGGTGAGCTCAGTGGCTAATATGATTAATGCTATTCATGGTTTAATCGCAGGTGAAATGCTGAGTTTTGCAAGTATTATGCTGCTGGGCTCTATTGGGCTGCTGAATAGATTTCCCTGAAATGGTTTTGTTAGGTTAGGGCAAGAGATAGACATCTGACTTAAAAGAATTCTTTGGGTTTGTATAAAATGAGTATTGCCTGAACTGAGGTCCTCCAGCACCATCTCAGAAGAATCACTAGCTAGATGGTGCCCCTTCCTGGGGGCAAGGGCTGCTGATCTTAAGATCCTTAGCTTTGGAAAAATACTTTTGTGGATGCCTGTCTCCTGTGAATTGGAAAGCAATTTGTAAGATGAAAAAGAAAACCACATTGCAGGAAGAACTGAACAGTTGGGAAGGAAAGTTGATAAATATTTCCTTGGAAAAACGAAACAAAAAAATAAAATGGCATTGTCCAGCAGTTCCATCTCCAGCATGGGTTTATGGATTGTTTTCTCTTTGCCAGGTACTAATCAGTTGCATTAATACATGTGTTTTTATTTCTGCAGGACTATTCTTAAAGACAGTAGGTTTTTTCGCTATTTGCACACTGCTGTGATAATGAGTGGAACCATGCTGGTGTTTGGAGGCAACACACACAACGACACCTCAATGAGCCACGGCGCTAAGTGCTTTTCTTCGGATTTTATGGCATATGATATTGGTAAGTTCTTGCAAAAATAATAATAAAAAGGCGGCTCCGCAATTCAGAGAGCTGTCTTCCAAAAGGCTAATTTACATGCTGTGTATATTGTAGCGAATGCCACTAAGCAGACTGCAGAAGAATGTGTAATCAGGAGAGGCAAAATGAGCTGCTGCAGTGATTTCCAAGCAAATACGACAGCAGCTTTGTGGTCGGTAGTTCATCTGTAATCTTAGGCGTTAAAAACTGTTTCTTAAACATAAAGAAGGTTGTTAAAAAGTCTGACTCAAGAGGCTTAGCTGCTATTTTGGGTGTGTGTTAATCTCTGATTTAGCAAAAACGTAGGATGTTATGGCAGAAGTACTGGACCTTGCTGAAGCTCTGCTTGCACACGGTATGGTTGTCTGAACTGGTTGTGTCGCTGTTCTGCTGTGCAAATTCCCTTAGTTAATATGTACACATTGGAAGTATAAACTTCCCCGTGCATAGTATTTAATAAGAAAGCTGAGGGATTAGATTTTATTTTGAAGGATTAGATTTTTGATGAGCTTGAATAACCAGGAGAGGGCAGCATTTATTTGTGAATTCAGAGTTCAGAGATTGTGCATTTAAGAAGAAAAAAATGGAAGGGAAAAAAATGAGAGATGAAATTATCTAAAAGGAGATGCATGTGCATCCACATAATTCCCTTCAGAGCAAAACATGATTCTTTACTCCCATCACATTCTACCATCTGCTGTTAGAATTCCTCGAAATATGGGATCTCTCGTTTGATTCCTTGCAATAATCATGTATGCCTGAATTAGTGGGACGATTGTCCGTTGCGATCACATTTCGGCTTCCTGAAAGGAAAATGCCAGCAAATGGGCCGCTTTGGATAGCAGGATTTAGCATCCCTGTGCAGTTTTGCTGTCCGTCACGAGGGCGATTCCCTCGGCCAACTGCGATCGCAAGTCGTGCCCCTGGGTACCTGCTGCGTGCTCCTAGCTAGCTTGATCATGAGTTTCTACTTCAACCTAGCTATTTTGGCAGTCGGGTGGAAGAGAGAGCAGTGTTTTGAAACTTAAAAAACAGTAGGGATAGATTTTTCGTGCTAAACTTGGCCATCTTCCATGACCCACTGAACTCTATTAGATGGAAAGCACAGATTGCATCAGCTGGACGAAGGCTGTCGATAGCGACACTCTCCTGATTTGGTTAAGGCATAGGCAGCTTGCGGGAAATACGTGGTATAATCAACTTGCCCAGTCCTTCCCAGATTGGTGCTGAGAATTAGGGCTCGTATCGATCACACTTCAAGCTGGGAAGAAGCTGGGAAAAAAGGATTGTGCTTCCCAAAGGGTCAAATCCTTCCCTATGGAATGCACTGTAACAGTAACAAAATTTTCGAGGACAACCTGCCTCCAAATACATTGCTATTTGACCTTTCTTTTTCATTTTTAAATGAATTTTAGCTTTATTTTTCTAAAACTCAGCATGAAATATTCATATAAAGGCTCTATCCACGTAATGATCTCTCTCCTCCCCAGGAGAGAAATGAACTCTCTCTACTCGCCCCATCAAAAATTCAGTGTAGGTGCCAACCATAGAAGAAGACTGGGTGTTTTCATAGCATATAGGTTCCATTTGAACGGGACGTTTAATAAAATTCTATGCATTGTAAATTTTAGGCTTGGCTTAACTCATAAATCAGGCAGGAGAGGGTGCTTTGTAGTTCCAAAATCATTCATTTTTTCCAAAACTTGATCTTCTCTTAAAGATGGGAGCAAAGCTTAGAAAGCAAAACATTCCGAACCTTCCATTAATCTAGCAAAATATGTTTCTTGGCCTCACATAACTCACAGCTCTCTGAATTAAAAAAAAAAAAATTGCTGTCCAATTTTGTTGAAGTTTCCTGTAAAAAATTGGAACCATGCGTGCTTTTTTTCATGAGTGATGTTGGGGTAGGTTAAATTCTTTTAAAATTGAGTAAATGACATTTAAAAATAAATTTTTAAATCATGCTATACCAAAGTATTAAATCCGACCGTCTGGGTCCTATATAGTTTATTTATCAGCGCTCTTATCTTGCACAGAAGTATCAGTGGCTGCATAGGTTAGAATGAGTTTACTTAGTGAACAATTGGCCAATTATATTTGATAAAGAATTAATGAGGTTGTTTTTCTTTGCCCCCTCACTTTATTTACATACTGGTTTTGGTTTTGAGGCTTATTTCTGAGAGGCTTGGTCGCTGACAAAATCTTGTATTTATGAATCTGTGATTGTTGGAGAGGCTCAGCAGATCTTTACAGCGGACTGACTTTTCTGTCTTAATTGCATAAATTGCATTCAGCTGCCTCTGGGACATTAGCCCTCAAGGTGCTCCCATTCAGTTTGCAGAGTTTGAGTGGTATGAATTGGACTGACTTTTTCTGCTTTTGTTCCTTTGATTGCTCAGTGGGTTATATGTTTCTTAAGGGTTTTTTTTTTTTTTTTAACATACTGCCTAAAGGAAAGAATTACCTGAGAACCAAAGTAAAAAATGAAGCAGAACTTAGAAATGTTATGCTAATAGAAAAAGATGGAATAATCTCGCGTTATATTAAAAGTTAAAAACAAACAAACAACAAAAAAAAATCCTTAAGCTATGACGAGTGAAAAATATTTTTAAAACTATGGATAGCTGCCCGCTAGGGATGTAATAGCAATGGAAGGAAAAAAGAGATAAAAGTCTCTGTTCTCAGTGGTGCTGGTTTGTGGCACAATTGCGAATAATTCACATATAGATAAAAAAGGGACTTGTTACAGAGTGAAAATTCCTGTAGTAAAGGAAAAAATGTCCTTCAAACCACCATCTCTCTTTACACGATTGTGAAAAAGCTAAGGATGTCTTCAACAGAAAACCATGAAACTTTCTTTCATCATGATCCATCTAGATGGTGACAGGGCTGTTGCCTCCTTCCTTTTCCTTTCTGCGATGCCATAAGGTCAGTGCGAAGAGCAAGTCTCTAAGACGAAGTCCTGCCATGGTGCTTAGGTCTTCTGGAGGCTCTGTTCTTCCTCTGAGATGGTCAAGGAACCACTGAGCTGCCTTTGGTGCTGAAGTGGTTGTAAATGGAAGTAGCATCAGCCTTGTCTTGTCATGCGGTGGTGCCCCATGCCTTCACAAACTGCTCCATTTCCCTCAAGAGTTGCACTTTGGTGATGGGTGGCATGGTCATTAAAAGTGCTGTGGGGTCCGTGAGGAAGGAAGGTGCTCCATAAACTGAATCATTAATTCTACATAAGAAACTTTCTGAAATGAGTTTTCCTTAATCCTAGCTTGCGATCAGTGGTCTGTGCTTCCTCGTCCCGATCTCCACCACGATGTGAACAGGTTTGGACATTCTGCTGTGCTGTACAACAGGTAAGAAGCAAGGACTGGCATGCGGTGACATAATGTCCCTTCTCTGTAGACTCCAAAACCTTTAAGTGTCTGTGCAAGTGCCAGTGTATGTGGATCCAAGATGTTTGAGATTGTCTATTCCAAGTCTGCTGAAGTTCTCTAGTCTTGACTCTTGTAATGACTTTGGTATCCACCCTTCCCTCCCAGCCCTTCTGTCCTGAGCTTCTAGCCTCTTCGCTTGACTAGGCTGTGTCAGCTCCCTTAATTGTTACAAAAACTGAATTGTTTGTATCTTCTTTCTTTTCCTCTCATCTTGCTGCGCTGTCACCTTTTATCTTCAAAATTATAGTTTTCCCTCATAGCTTCTGAAGTTGACATCCTAGTTGACATAGCTTATCCAGTGTGGCTCCTCTGTACCAGTCATATGATGTACAGTGCTTGGGTGAAATCGTAGATGAGATATCTCTCAGATGAGATTCCTGCCATTTAGCATTATATTGCTGTAATAATATTCATGCTTTCAGGCAAATGTCTCTGTTATGGTCTTTGGGTCAGTGAAACTGAGTTTGAGGTCGTCTTCATGGAACTGATTTCCTCGGAGTCTTGTGTTTCTAGTTCCTTCGTCCTTTTGAAAAAGTTTCCCCTAAATCAGCAATATTATTTAGAGGATGTTTAAGCTAGTCACGTAACTCATACTGCCTTTAAGAGAAAGATATACTTCTATATTCTGCAGCTCTGAATATATCTCCCGATACTTAGAGAATCTACTATATACTTTTCTTTTTGTCTTTGCAAATAATCACTCACTATTATGTTTGCTTCAGTATTTATTGAATAAGAGCTGTGTGTTTGCTCCCATAACAAATGATTAAGCTTATGTTCAAGTACTTTCCTGATGTGGGATGAAAATAAATACAGTGTTAAAATATTTTTAAATCCACTATAGCCTTTCTCTAGTTGCATTAATTCTTCTGCACTGCCCTGTTAAGCTTACAAACATGAATGCACGGGTTTTTTTGGATGGTCTTTTTAGGCATTTTGGGGTGGTGTTTTCATGTTATGCCTAAAGCAGTTGTGATGTTAAAGAAAAGCCTAAATAAAACACCTTTTTTTTTTTTTTTTTTCCCTCAAAACATTACTTAGCTTTTAGTTGACACAATGACTCTTTGCTCAATTGCTAAGAGGCATGAAAATAGCTGTGGTTTTGTCACAGCAGTGTACCAAGACGGGACAGCATTGAATTGTTTTGTCGCAGCTTCTGAGTGTGGATTTAATGGTGTGATACTGTCTCACCTATTTTAGCCTTCCTCCCTTTCTTGCCACTGTGCTTGAAAGGCGACTCCTGCATTTCTGCAGCATTTTATGTCTCGTCAAGCTAATTGGGTGTTACCCAGACATTTGGCTTGGAAGGGGAGGTCAGTGTTTTACCTAAGATAGGTTTGAGGCTTCCTCAGAAGCTACAAGACCCTCTGGGTTCTCTGACCTGTTAGATCTTGATTGACCCTGAACTTTAGTGCGTTACTTAACCTTCATGTCTTTAGCTGGATATATGCACACTGTAATTTAAAAAAGCACTTTATACCATGAATAAAACTGAGCTGCAGCAGTACACGGTCTGTAAAACACGTGTTCATGCGTTTCCTTGCATTCTGTTTAGCACCATGTATGTGTTCGGAGGCTTCAATAGCCTCCTCCTGAGCGACATACTGAAGTACACGCCGGAGCGATGTGAAGCTTTCGGCAACGAAACGGCCTGTGTGCGCGCGGGCCCCGGCGTGCGCTGCGTGTGGAACTCCTCCCGCCTCCAGTGCGTCCCCTGGGAGATGGCAACGCTAGAGCAGCAGCAAAAGGTCTTCGAAGACTGTCCTGCTAAGCTAGGTATGTGTCATGTCCTCACCCTTTCCCAGCGCGCCTTGGGTTTGTCCTTTCCAGTTTCCGTCTTGTGTTATTTTTGTGCCGCTCCCAGGAAGCGTTCCTACATTCCCAGGAGGGCTGAGGTCCTGGTTCTGTACGTGCCCTCAGTGGTGGCACAAGGACATTTGCGTCCCCTGTTCTCTCCAGAGATGCTGCATCAGCTCTTTAGGGCTTTTTCTGCTCTACTGACTGTCACTTCTCAAAAAGTTCCCACTTACTTCTTCATCTTCCATAGTCATCATCAGCCAGGAATCAGCCCTGGACCATTGCTGTGTAGATGCTTGCTCCAAGAACTGACCTTGTGAGAGCCACCAAGTCTTTTGATGAGCACCGTGGGGCAAAGTAGGGGCATCTGGACCCCACTGTGTTAGTCCATGTACTTCAAGGGAGATAGCAGGAAGAAAGTTTCAAAGTAGCTTTGTTTTTCCTTTGGTGTCCCTATATGGATAGAGAACTAGAAGAAGAAAAAGAATGTTTATTTTAAGGTTTGATTCCTGTGTTCTCCCTTCTGATAACTTTCTAATAACTTCTTAGTACTGTATCCTAATGCATTCATTGCTCTGAATTGAATTATATGAACCTTGATTCTGTAATAGATTGCAGCCTTTAATTATTTAAAAGAAATTGATGTAAAGGGACATTGCTTTGATGGGCTCTCAATGTACAATAATTTTTTGCAAAACACAGGCGATAAGCAATTGGAAATATGAAATGGAAAGTTCAAGCCTTGCATGAAAATGTTCCACATAATTGAAGGCCAGGATTTCAGCAAAGCGGGCCCTCCGTGGTGGATTTTTTCCTGTCCTTGTTCAGTGTCCTTTGGCATCATCTGCGTGAGCTTTGACTAAAGAACGTGCTCGCGTGGTCTTAGTTCATGTGCTTCTGTGTCCTGGCACGCTTTCCAGTATTGTGTTTTGATGCTTCTTGGGCACTAAGAATGATTAATGGTACAAAAGAATGTAATTTTTCTACCAGTCTAGTCCCATGGAAGTGTCTATCTACTAACTAGTTGATAATGGAAAATCTCCAGGCACTACTGTATGGTTATATCTTTTGCTGTATATAATCAAGTTCTTAGAACTCTGTCAGGAAATGCTTGTTTTTGGTCATGCAGGTTTTTTTCTTTAATAGTTGTAGACAATGAAAAATGTGATCAGATTACAGACTGCTATAGCTGTACAGCAAATACAAACAACTGCCAGTGGTGCACTGACCAGTGTATCTCAACGCACAACAACTGCACAGAAGAACAGGTAAAGTCTCTCTAAATACTTCTGAGTTTCAAATGTAGCTTTTTTGAAATGCTGCATGTCTGCATGTCTTCATCTGGCCATATGATCCCCTTGGTTCATTTTTTCCAGCTCTGAACTGCTGACATTTGAATTTTGCAAGTTAGTCCAAGGGCTTTTCATGGGAGTCTCTCACTGTTAGGGTTAAAGGACTTCAAAGGGTGGGGATGGAGTGGACGGTTTCACCATGAGTGCAGTGTGACAACTCGCTAAGGTACATACGCACTGGGGTTTGCCATTAATACAGCCTTACCTGGTTTCTAAGATAGACAGGAGAAATCAATCTTTTTATAAAAGTTCTAGTGAACGTGTTCTAGAACATGTGTCAGGTGCTGGCCAGGGGGAAAATCCTAAATCTGCAGGAGAGGCTGTATCCAATGTCCCAACTTTTGAATTAAGTTGCTTTGTAGGTCTGAACTGTAGAGCTTGTGTTAAACATTCCTGTTTGGAGAGAAGAAAAACCTGAACTGTGCTACTTGTTTTAGGTTCCTATTACTACATATGATAATTGTCCAAAGGATAACCCTGCATATTACTGCAACAAAAAGACAAGTTGTAAAAGCTGTGCCATGGATCAGAACTGCCAGTGGGAACCTAGGAATCAGGAGTGCATTGCTTTGCCAGGTAGGTACTGATTGCGTTTGTGTAAAACAAATAAAACCAGGAGTAATTCAGTCCAAAAGAATTAATTATTTTTTTTTTTCCCTCTTAAAAGAAAAAATCATAATCACTATCTGTTTGGTCCAAAACTTTATTTCAAGGAAGTTCAGAAAGTCTTATGAGATGTTCTTCTGTCTTTTCAGTCCCAATTGTCTGAAGATGAGTATGATCATTTGTATAATTATTAACCTTTATTTCATCTCATTTTTTTTCTTCATTTGATGAAAACAACACTGTTGATATAGTGGGCTTTTGTAAGGTATTAGATTGAATAATGCATGCCATTTAATTTTAGAAGCTAGAATGATGAGAAAGCAGAATGACACACTGGACGAATTAGATAAATAACATCTAAACATGCAAAAAAAATTTTCTTATTAAAATGTTTCTAGTGGGAGTTGATTATCTTTCCTGTAGTACATTTTTCTTTTTTACAGTGACTGGGTAGGAAGTGCAGCTTCTTGAGCAGTTGGCATTTACAGCTAATAAAATATGGAGAAGAAGAAAAAAAACAAGGACAGGACCTTCATGCTGGACTGGATTTCCTTCTTCTAGTAACCCCTTTAGATTTGGGTATGTCCAGATCTGGCATCAGCTAGTCTGGAAGAGAGGAAGAAAATAGACTTCAGAGAAGAGTCACGAGAACCGGAAAAGCATCTTTTAATGAGTCTTAGCTACGACTTAGCTTAGTCTAGATTGTAGAAAAGGGCACCCTCCTTCTATAACAGTTTGATCTGAAAACCAAACCAAACAAACAACCCAAAATGTTGACAGTGGAGAGCTTTTCAGTCTGTTAGACCAATCTAGAACAACCCATAGGTGTTGGCTGTACAGTTATTTGTGCTAAAAATGTCCATCTCCTTTCTTGTAACGCCAGCTATAAGTGCATGTGCGTGGAAGGAAATTGCCACAGGGTTATTAGTTTTTTAGTAGCAGGTACAACTGTTCTTAGCAACTGTTAAACGGGAGTTAACTCGAGAAATTTGGTGCTGTGGACAAGATTATCAGCAGCCTCCTTCTACTGCAAATTATCCTTACAGTTGTGATCAAAGATATGGCTTAAACCTTCATCAAAATAGCCATTTACTTTCCTCTACTCTTTCTTCTTAAACAATTCTACTATTTTAGGGTCAAATAAGTGTGTGTGGTTTTTTTTTTTTTAACCCACTACAGATTATTGCAAGATGGTGTCTTGCTTTAGCTCCTCTAAACACCTTTCTGTTTTTCCAGGTTCTTTATATGTAAGTACTTTTGAGCAGGCCAGTCCCTGGTGCTCTTGGATAGAACTGTAGATTTTATTTTGGTGGAACAGCTTTTTCATTAGTTTGAATGCTGTGAAGCTCACCTGCGTCTCTTGTCTTTCTTTTTCTTTTTCTTTTTACTCACCCCTTCACAGAAAATATCTGTGGGACAAATTGGCACTTGGTGGGCAACTCATGCTTGAAGATCACAAACACAAAGGAGAACTACGATCACGCCAAACTATCCTGCAGATCCAATGGGGCTTTCCTGGCTTCTCTTACAACCCAGAAAAAGGTGGAATTTGTTATAAAGGAGCTGCAGAAGATGCAGGCTTCAGTGAGTGCTTTGTTTTAATTAATGTCCTCTGCCTAATTAAAGCCCTGACCGCGGGGAAGGCCCTTGGTGGGGTGTCGTGCGCTCTACTCGGAGTAGACTTTAACCAAGAAAGAAAAAAGAATCGGTCTTTTTTTTGAAATTCAACATGCCCTATAGGTGCTTTTGAAGTGGAAGTGTAGAGAATGTAAATGTGAGAGATAAATACAAACACGTGCTGTGCCTCAAAGGTATCGCTCGCTGTACCAGAGCGGCAAACACGGCTCTCCGGTGGGGTACACGACCACAGCAGGGGCGAGAGTGGTTCTCGTGACATCTACAAAGGGTCTTATAAATGACGGTCCCTTTGGGGCACTGTAGGTGTTTAATGCAAAGCATTTCAAGTTATTTATTCTATGAAATGTGCTTAAAACATTGGTTTCTTACTCAGCAGGTCTGCGTGACTTATTTGGAGCTGTGTAGGTGTTTTTTAGTGGCAGGTACTTTCCAGCTTGAGCCACTGCAAAGGGGCTCAGAATCTATCCTTCCTCATGCATCAATAAAATAAAAAAAAAGGAGGGAGACTGTACCCTGCATTTACTCCTTACAGATAATATACATACTAGGTATATACTGCGTATAGTTGTTCCAGACTAACTTGAAAATATATAGGTATTAGTCCCTAGTGCTGTGTTATCCTGTTGCAATTAGAATTTTCACTTTCAGGGTTTCAGAGGGCATGAAATCAGATTGAACTGGGTGGTTGTTTCACCAGCATGAATATATTTGATTTGCTCTCCTCTGAGTGTTTCCCAGAGGAATTCTTTATCTCTTTGGTCTTTAATTCTCACGGCACAAATATTTCCATATTACATTTTTGCTACAACACACACCGCAAAGTCAGGCAGGGGTCCTGTATGGTGCTGAGCTTCGTTTTCTTTCAGTAGTAAATAAATAAAACTGTGCTGATAATCCTAACATTTCAGGGTTTTTTTGTTTGTTTGTTTTTTTCCCTAGCCCAAAAACTTGACTCCGTGGGTTGGGCTGAGAAAAATCAACGTGTCCTACTGGTGCTGGGAAGACATGTCGCCCTTCACCAACAACCTGCTCCGGTGGCTCCCCGAGGAGCCCAGCGACGCCGGCTTCTGCGGCTACTTAGCTGAGCCCTCCCAGGAGGGCCTGAAGGCAGCGACCTGCATCAACGAAGTGAACGGCAGCGTCTGTGAGAGGCCGGGTAAGAACAACTCTAATCCGTGTCTCGTAGGGCACAGGCCTAGTAACATAGAGTTATATTTCCTAGGGATCTGGTAAGATCCCTTTTACAAAACTGCACCATGATCTTCCTTTTTATAATATTAAAAAAAGACTCTGAATAAATATTTCTTGCACATACTTCAAGCTACAATTGGGCATGTTAAAAACCAGCTCTATGTTGACACGGTTAACTCCAAAATGTTTAAAGTGCATAATATTTAATTATTTTGCCTTATTTATGCACCTGAATGTGGCATTTAGGTTAATGAAGGTACGGAGCCAGCTCCTATTTCGAAAACCACAAAATAAAACCCACTTTCCGATCGAATGCCCCTTTCTCCCCTCTCGTGTGCTGTAGCCAGAGGAGAGTTTTATCAAAGCTTGAAATTAATTGGGCAAGACACTTTGGAGATAATGAGAATTTCTTTAAAAAAGGCTATTTGCTTTTGGGGAGAGCCTTCGAGCTTTGCTGGAGCTGCGTATCTCTTAAAACGACTCAGTCTGTTCACTCTCCAGTAGAGCTGAATCCTTCCAAATACCAATTACTACCTTTTTAAGTTTTAAGAAAGTTGGGCGATTACATAGTCTCTAAGTGCCACCCCTTTAAGTTGATCTTTGTGGCACTGCAGGATGCAGAGCGTGAATAGGTTGCTTTTAACTCAAGATGCATTTTTTTTTTAACTTAGCACATGCAGCGCTTCAGTTTAAACTGAAACTTGTTTTGTGGCCCAGGAAGAGTCACTTAAAACTGATGGTTAAGCTCTGTCTTGGACAGAGAATTCCCTTTAAATACTTAATTTTCTGGCCAGAGCTGACCAAACGGCGTAACCCGCGTTGCCGCGTTCTCGGCTGGAAGGTGGGTGTTTTCCCAACGCTTCCGCTGGAGCTGAGCAGCGCGCTGGCAGATGTGTGCAGGTGCAAAAACCCGCTGCAACGCCCCAACCTGACGCTCAAACTGTCCCTCCCGCAGCCAACCACAGTGCCAAGCAGTGCCGCACGCCCTGCGCGCTGCGCACGCTCTGCGGCGAGTGCACCAGCGGCAGCTCCGAGTGCATGTGGTGCAGCAACATGAAGCAGTGCGTGGACTCCAACGCCTACGTGGCCTCCTTCCCCTACGGGCAGTGCATGGAGTGGTTCACCATGAGCAGCTGTCCCCGTGAGTAGCCGCCCCACGTGGCCCCTCTTTCCTACAGGGGTTCTCAGCGAGTTCCCTGCGTCTCTTGTTGCGGGTTGTATTAGTATTTTGTTAATGCGGTTTATGTGGTTGCGCAGCCAGTTCTGCCAAGGACCTGCCACAAGGAGCTCTGAGTAGATGCCTTAGCCCTGCAGTAGGTTGTGTGCCATATAAAGCGTTACACAGAATTATGCCCTGTTTAAGGGAACTATCAATTAGAGTAAATGGCAGATAATATAGGCTTGGCAATAAGATGAATAAATCTATCCTTTTTTTTTTTTTTTTCTCAGAGGGAAAAGTACTTGTTCTGTTATTTCAATTCCTAGTCTCCAAATTGGTTCTGTTACATAATTTCATGCAATTAAGTTTTTTTTTTTTGTCTCTCCTTATCTCTTCTCTATCTCTTTTATTCATACATGTAATTTAATATTAGCTTATCTGTTTCAAATCCAGATCAGGGATTATACAAAAATTTTATCCTGAAATATTGTCTCCCTGTGTCCCAGAGCATAAATTTCTGATTTATTCCAAATAAATGATTTTATTCTTGTTAGTAGGCTCAAGCAAATTGCAAGAGATTTGGGATGCTTTGACACACTTTCTGTGTCTCAATGTTTGTCTTATTTTTGTCATTGTCAAAAGAAGTTACTGAATTCTTTAAGAGTCAGGAAAGCCAGGGCTATTTGGGTATGTGGCTATCAGATGGAGAGGAACACGCAGGAAGGAAGTTGGGCAGGTTGAGCCGTTGCATGAACTTCTGGAAGCTGACGGGAATAAGCTGGGATAGCTCAGAGAGCTATAAATTAAGACATGGAGAGAATTAATTTCAAGTGACTGTCACACATGAGTGTGTAAACTTGTCCCAAAGGTTGAAAGTTGGAGGAAGCAGCAAGCAGGAGATGAGTAGATACAAAGAAGGCAAAACATTTCTTTTTTCCCCATTCCCCTTCTTCCCCTGAAAAAGGCAAATACCGGTTTACATCAAAATAGAAATTCTGTTCTTCATGGAATGTAGAGGTTCTTAATATTCTTAAAAAAGAACTTTAACAAGAGCAAAATTTTGCTGTATCTAAGTTTCCCTCACCCCAGAAGAAGTCCCATTTGAGAAAGGAACCATTGGATTGTGGTGATGGTTATTCCCTAATTTAGTTGATTGTCAGGCCAGCGGAGAGCTTGAATGTGATGTTCTACCATAAGATAACAAATTGCTGACTCGAATAGATGCTTAAAGTAGTAGCATGTGGTATTAAAACCTGTAATGAGAAGGAATGTGAACTATGTAAATAAACTCTTTTTTAGCCTTTGCTTCAAAGCAACTCGTATTATCTGCTGACTCGTTGCAAATCCAGCGATGATCTTTTGTAGCTGGAAACATTCTGCTGTGATTTTAGCTTTGTATATGTATTGCAGTTTCACAAATCACTGACTAAATCAATATTTTTAATCTATCTAATTATGACTGATTGTGTTTATAATCTAATTATTACATTTATGAATATTATATATATTTATATAATATTTATACATATAGATAGATCTCTATAATTTATTTATTCTAGAGTAAATATACTAAGAGAAGTGAAAGTGTGTATTGTTATTATAGCTAAATATCAGGCTGAAGATTTATGTTTTGGAGGAGACAGGTCGCACAAGACATGAAGAATTTGGCTTGCATTGTTGCCTGTGTTTTGAGACGGGGATTTGTTTCACAATTGGTTTATTTATTTTGTAGCTGAAAACTGCTCAGGCTATTGCACATGTGGTCACTGTTTGGAGCAGCCCGGCTGTGGATGGTGTACTGATCCGAGCAACACTGGAAAGGGGAAATGTATAGAGGGCTTCTATAGAGGGCCAGTAAAGATGCCAACGCCATCCTCGACAGGGAAGCAAAGCTTGGAACCCGTCCTCAATGTCAGCATGTGTCCCGCGGAGAATAAATATAATTGGTCCTTTATTCAGTGTCCAAGTAAGTGAGCAGAGTTTATTTGTTCAAACATTTCAAAGGTCACAAAATTTAAATGTAAGGTGAGAGACTTCTTAAGTACATAGTCATTCCCATGTTCCTTCCTGTTAAATGGGGGGAGCAAGAGAGTTTGAAGGCATATAAGAAATGCACATTTTGAGGTGGAGGGATGCAGGCATCTCCTAGTGAACTATGGAGATCTGCTGTGTGAAGACTTATCTAAGATATTTTCCTTAATCTATGAGCTGTTTGATGAGATTATTTTCCTTCCCCTACAGACCTTTATTGAGTGTTTTTTTTTTTAATGTATTCATTTTAGGATTGTTTAAATAGAAAGGCAGTTATTTCTTTGAAAGTTTATTTAAGGCGAGGGGTGATTTTCAAGTTTTATTTTTTGAACATTGTTATGTGCTATGTGAAGTGCTATATTCAAACTCAACTATTCATCCTTTTCTGCTTTCTTCAGCCTGCCAGTGCAACGGGCACAGTAAGTGTGTAAATGAAAGCATCTGTGAAAAGTGTGAAAATCTGACAACTGGCAAACACTGTGAAACTTGTATTTCTGGCTACTATGGAGATCCTACTAATGGAGGAACATGTCAGCGTAAGTGATGTCTTAAATTGGCCTGTGTTGGGGTCCTTGTTTTTCCTCTCTTTACTCAATCCTGTAATTGTAACCCAAATTATATGCGGATTCTAGGGTTGAATAAACTCTCTAGGCTTCTAATTTGCTCTTAATTTAAATAATAAGGTAGTAATCTAAGTATCTGTTGTAACTTTGGTTTTGGTAAATGTCTTATTTCAAGAAACACATGTTCAAGAAACATTGAAGTTGAGGCATGTACTGCAAGCACAGAAGAGGCAATGAAATATTTCTACAATTAGGACACAGACCTTGCTCCTTCAAATCAAAGACACAAAAAATCCTTCCAAAGAAATTCTTTGTCTTGCCTTATGCAGAAAAAGGTTTATTTTTACCCTCCTTTTTAAACTTAAAGCTAACTCATGACTCTTTGTGGTCATTTAAATATTCAATGATCCTCTTTTGCAAAGGAATTGTGTTAATCCCAACATCTTGAAAAGAAATTGTGTTAATCCCAATGTCTTGGACAAATTTCTGCTCATCTAAATTCTACCTTTTATTACAGTCAGTTAATGCATTGTTGATTTATTGTCATAATCGTCTGCTTAGTAGAGCCGTAGCCCTGTTTCACTGAGAATTGGCTGGATTTCATTTTAGGATTAGGTGAGCCCTGTTATAATTGCATTTTAAGTCTGCAAAGCGCTGATGGGCTCTTTGGCAAGACTGGGAAACGAGCATGGAAGGTTTGTTCTGTCCTTAAACTTCACAAAATTGTTCTGAATTACAGCTTATTTCAGTATCTTACTGTCTTACCAGTTACAAACTAGGATTTAGCTTTGATAGGTGACACACAGTTGTAAGGGAAGATATTATTTTCCCCTAAGAAACCTAAAAGAGGAATATAGAAGGAGAATAATATAGTTGAGGTGGTGTGTAAGCACTGTGGAAGAAGTAGCTGAAGGTGATTAATGGAGGGATGTTGAAGTCTGAGTTGTTCCTTCCGAGTGTGGAAATGATTCAGGAGAAAGTGTCTGGAAATTCATCTAAGTTGCCTCTTGGAAGCGAGTTCAACCTCCTGGGTGAGGCTGGGAGCCAGTCGCTGGAGTGGGAATGAGCCATTTCTTAAAGCAAGAGCAAGCAGGTGTTTGGTGCTATGGAGAAGGACTCCCCAGTGGAGAGATTTGAAGAGAAATGATCAGAGGCAGGCTTAGAAAATTAGGCCACTTTTCTCAAAAAAAAATAGTCTTGCAGTGGCTGCGATAGGAAATTATGACCAGCAGCACAGGGGCAGGGGCACAGCAGAAAAGATGCACCTTGATTACTTGATTCCAGAGCATTGTCTACAAGATGAAATATTGCTGATATCCTTAAACTCATTTTGCACCAAGATAATTCAGAGTGCGGGAACAAATAAATTGAGAGTGAACTAGCATGAGAAAATATAAAATTCTACTGCGAGCGTTCAGTTTTAATTACCAGATTGCAGCATGCCATTTTATAGTTGTCATTGTTGTTGTTGTTGTTTTGTATGTGTGGAAATTCCAGAGCAAGTTACTTGGGACTCTTTTCTGTGAGAAGTGTCCAAAAATAGTTTGTTGAGATAATGAATGATAGACTCGAGTCCTCCAGTCGGCTGAAAACAGAAATTAGAAATCGCGTTCAGAGACTGTGGCTCAGCATCCATCCTCTATTTGATGAAACATGTAGCTCATGTCAGAAGTGCTTTGCTCTCAAGTGCTTTGGGCCCTGGGTTTTTAATTTGCTGTGATTTAAAACTTTTCTACCACGCAGGCAAAAGAAGCAGAAGGTTGGGCAGAGGGACAGAGTGGACTGGAAGAAGCAAAGCAAAGGGAATTGCCCCAGTCTGATACGGCCTGCGCAAGTGCTGGCCACTTATCATGTTGTCCCATGGAAAAGGTTTCTGGAGGGGAAATCTTTAGGGATGAGCATTGGCTGATGGGCAGCAGAGCCTGTACTGAGATCCTAGGGGTCTGAGACCCATGTAGGAGCCTTTGGGCAAATAGGGCAGTGCAGAGGTGGAAGTGGTGGAGATGGAGTTGAGAAGAAGTAAAAAGAGTGGGTGGGAGAAGATACCTTTCCCCATCACTCTATGCTGCTAGAGCAGGTGAATTTTGCCTTATTACTTGGACTTTAGGTTTTTTAGTGAACTGCAGCTATTTCTCTGAAAGAACTTTGTGCGCACCATCATAGCTATTGGTTTTTGCAGGGTTGGGCAGATAATAACCAAACGGCAGCTGATTTGCTTCTCAGCGGTTGCTTTTAGAAAGTATCCGTCATAGAACAGTGTTAATCGGGAAGGACAGGAAGTACAGCACATCAAACATGAAAAAATGTGAAATAGCTGTAAGGTGCTTTCTCTGCATTCAGTATTTTTGAGTTTTCTGATTAAACTTTCGCATGAAAATATGCTGGCGCTAGATAAGAAAGTTATTTGCAAGCAAACGGAAGGCACTATTGTGTCTGAAATCAGATAGCCTCCGTGGCAGTGATGTTAAACCGCTCGGTGGAGCGTTGCTGGTGGCCCACGTGGAGCTAGTGGTGACACGATGCTGCTCGCCTTTCCCCCAGCTCCTTGATGGCTGCTGGAAGACAGCTAAAGCTCTTTGCTTTGAAAAGACATAGTTACGGTGGTCCCCATGGGGCTGCTGGACTGTCGAGGTCCCCATGGGGCTGTTGAACTGTCACAG